GTCTGAGAACATGACTCATTCCAGGAGGGGTAGGAGTTGCAGCTGAACAAACAGGCAGCAGTCAGATCACAAAGTGTCTTCAGTGCGGAAACCGAGCAGTTTAAATTCGTGTGAAAGCTCTGCGGAGTCCCTGAAGGCTTTCAAGCAGAAGCCTGATGTCATCTGCTCTGCATGTTAATGAGGTTCTCTGGCAGTCAGGCTGATTAGAGGGGGCCACCCAGGAGTCAGGGAGACCAGTTCTGAGACTGTCCCTGGGAGAGGAGTGCGAGGCATTTGAAATGAGGCGCTGACCGGCAGGATCAAGAGATGGGAAGGGCCCACTGGCTGACTGTGTCTGACCCCTGGGAGGTGCTTTGTAAATATTTGTTGATTTAATGAATTAGTTCTAGCTGAGTCGAGACTGTACAAATGGGTGCACATCCCCTTGGGCCCTAGGTGGTATCTATCACACAAATGAACAGGTAGAGGGGCATTTCTTTTCAGCTGAAGGGGAAATAGCAAGAGAGACAGACAAAGGAGATGTAGGGGAAGGTGACATCCCCTGTCCTGTTGATGGCTCCGGTGACAAAGGAACAAGCTATGATTAGGAAAGACTGTGAGGGACCTCTTTGGGACCCAGGGACAAGGGCTACTCAGAGCTGGGTGCAGGCCATTCTCCACTCCACCCCTTCTCTCACCCCTTGCCACATGGACTGCAGGGCAGCTTTGGTTTCCTGAAGGATCAGCAGGCAGATGCAACGTTCAGCAGATCCACAGCATCAGGAAAGACATCAGCCAAGAATGCCAAAGAAAGAGCTGTGGCTGGCATGGCTGCAGTAATGGATGGCCAGAGTAGGAGACAGACATAAGCACACCGATACTTAAATACATGAGAAACACCAGCCTCCCACTCTTGGGCTCTCAGAAGTAACTAGAGATTTTGAGGGCAGGTGGCTAAAACCTACTGTAACTTGGGCATCAATGTTAGTATCACCTTGTTTGCACCTACGGGTCTATAATGAAGGGAATATCTGGGTTACAGAATGAATGATACAGGTGACATGTGGTGGGTTTCACTTGTTCATGCATTTATTGAGCCTCTGTATGCCACGCAGTGCTGGATGCTGGGCACACAGCAGTGGACAGAACAGACGAGCCCTGCCCACAGTGAGCGTACAATCTAGTGGTCCTACACATCAGTCCAGTACCACCACCTGTGTGCAACCTGGAGACGGTCTAATGGGAAGGGTTACTTTAAATCAAGGGTCAGAAAAGAACAATTTGAGGGAGTGACATTTAAACCAAGATCTGGAGATGCACAGTGAAGAACAGAGGGTGTGCATTCCAGGTAGAAGGAACACCAGGTGAAGACGACTTGGGGACAAATCCTTGGCCATCTGGAGAGATGGCCAGTGGGGCAGGGGCATGAAGGCAAGGAGGGGCTGGAGAGGGAGGCACTGGCCAGACCTCACAGGGCCATGCTGGGACTTTGCATTTGAACTCAAGTGTGCCGGGCAGGGGAGTGGCGTGATCAAATTTCTGTTTTACAAAGATTGCTCTGGCACTCGTGTGGAGAAAGGAGTGGGACCAAGAGGGCACGAAGGAAGAAAAGCGTGGAAGCTAATTCAGTTGCTGAAGAAAGAGCTGTGGCTGGCATGGCTGCAGTAATGGAGAGAATGAAGGAACTGGAGCAGGACTTAGACGAATCAACACTGTTTTCCTCGTGCCCTTGCCTTGCTATAGAGAGAGGCTGGAGTGCTGATTTTAGACGAGACCAACAGCAGATATGTTCACCACGCCAATCTGTCCCTCATGCGCCTGTTTTGCTCTGGGCTAGTGCAGGACTGATGATGTCACACGGGCCATTCCCCTGCCTCCTAGCAAACCCACACCCATTGATTCCCATTGACGGGAATCGATTTTGTGTTTAAAGATTTCCTGAGAAAGCTTTCGCAACCTCTGCTCACGTTTAAAATAATTACTATTAGGAAATCCCTGTTTGTACTTCACCTGAATGTCTCTCACCCTAAAATTTCTTGACTTTTGATGGAGATGATGATGCTAAAATAATAAGTCCCCTGGGCAGATGTGATGTCATAATGACAGTTCTAAATCACGTCTGTCTCTCCCACAGCCAGAGCCACTCATCTGTTAGCAACAAATAAAGATGTCCCAGAAAAGGAATCCAGTTTGGTTTTTGCAGCTCGCTGTCAAGTTCTTTGCCCTTGCTCCTCAGAGTGTGGTGCTGGACCCAGGAACCTAACTTTAGAGACGGGTAGAAATGCAGAACTAAATCAGGACGTGCATGTTAACACTCCCCAGACGATTCACAGGCACATTTATTCTGAGAAGCACCCTGGCCTTAGATCACCCTGAGGCCATCTAAAAGTGGGTGGGCAGGGGCAGTGCCAGATCTTTGAAAGGCAGCGAGCCTCAGCAAGCAGTGAGGGAAACAGAACTGGTCCGACAGGAACTGGGTTTTCTCTGGAAGTTCCCTGCTCCCAAGTCACACAGGGCATTTCTGCCGAATTCAGAGACGATGTGCTGTTTCCTGGCCACGTGCTGGGCGAGCTACGCTGGATGGATGAGTCCCCGGTGTGGAAATGCTGTCGGGTGGGCAGTGCTGTGCAGGTGCCCCCCCGATAGCTCCAGAGGCCAAGCAGAGCCAGCTGCCCCTCCCCCAGCATGGACAGTTTGGTCCTTGTCCTCTCAGCTTGGTCCCTAAGGGCCCTTGTTCTCTGGGCGGTTAGGGTGACAACTGCTTCCTTCTGCACTGAGCCACGTGATGAGCAAGCTGCTTTCCCACCTCAGTGAAAAATACTGCCACGATGGCCTCTGGTGGAATAGAAATCCCAGTCCAGGGGTCCTGAAAGCCCTGCCCACACTGTGTGGTCAGCCTCTGAAGGCCCCGGACCCTGCCCCCACCTGCGGGGTGTGTGACACAAGGCACCGGGCACAGCCCCACAACAAGGGCCCTTGTTTTGTTTCAAGGCATAAAATCCAGGCCAGAACCAAGTCATTTTACTCTGTCCTCACCTTGTCCTCACAGTCAGGCTGATCCTCACACGTAATCAGACAAATGAATCGGGTTGGTGGGCTGTTTAAAGCACATGGTTTAAATACAGTAAAGTCAAATGCTGATGTTGGCTTTCATTTACTGTACTATGTTCGCATTACCTAGCACCAAACACCCGATTCGGTCTCCCTGGCCTTTGTTCTCTCATCTTCATTCCTGTGGTGACCTTGCCCCCGACCTGCTGGTGTTCCTTTCTCTGCTCCGGTTCCTCCCCCCACCCGCCTCGGCCCCCTCCTGGAGCCTTGCCTGCCTGCGGACTCCAGTGTCCTCCTCGCCTGGCCTGTCCCACTTAACCTCTTGCTCCCTTCCCTCCCTTTATGCCTCTCATGCTGCTCCTTCATCCTTTGAAATGTCTTCTGGCTGCTAGATGATCCTCACTCATACTCGACTCCCCCTGCTTCTCTCGGGCTCTTTTCTCTCCCTTCCTGAGTCTCACCATGGAGTCCCTTCTCTTCCTGTTTTTCTCTGAAGGTGACATGGGGATCAGAGAATGTTAGAATTCAGAGTCAGAGAGACACAGCCTACATTACAATGACAGTTACTTCTGAGTCACAGACTCTTTCTTTTTCTTCCATCACCTTTGATGGTGGCTGCCCCCGTCTCTCCGTAGAGCAGGAAGGGCTGGGGAGGGAGGAACAGGCCTCCACTCGCCCCACAGGACCCCTCACTAACTCTGGCCCTGAACTCTTCTTTCACGTCTCGGAACACTCACACACACATTCCTTCCAGGTGGCCTCGGTGCAGATGTGTGACACCGAGCTTCCTTCTCCAGTGTCCTCTGTTCCTAGCCAGGCTGGTCTGTGTTTCACGCCCTCAGATGAGCGCTGGGACACACAGTTCTATTTTGAGGTGCTGAGGAGAGACGGGGTTGCCAGGGGCTCTTCTCCCCAGGCGCAGCTCTTGGTGCGGGGAAGGTAGCAGCAGAGGTCCAATGGTCAGGGAAACAAGAAGCTCATCTGACAGCAGGTCCCACCCAGGGTCATGTTCAACCAATCAATCAGCCAATCACTAGTCAGTGCTCTTGGGGAGTGGACTTCTCTATGTGCCACTGGGCAAAGAACCTTCAAACGCAGAAAACCAAGAAGGTAAACAAATAGAGCCCCAGATACCTTCGTAACCATAGGATAATGGCTCTAATATCTGGCTCTCTTGGCCAAGGCTTCTCCAGGCACTTCACAGGATCCAGGAGGCTACTTTCTTAGAAGCTGGGGACATGGAGGTTACACCCAAGTGAGCCACTGGGAGGCCTGTGAAAAAAATCCCTCCATTCCCCAGTGCTCGGCTCCTCACAGTGTCCCCATGTCTTCATGTCAGCCACAAAAAAGGGGACTGGCCAAACAAAGAGCGAGTCTTTTGAAAGAGCTGCAGGCCCCGGCCTTGCGTGGCCTTGGGATGCCTGTGCTCCGGTCCTGCCCTCACACCCTGGCCGCTCCAGCTCAGACCTGCGTGGCTGCACCCTAATTCTCCATCCAGCAGTGCTCTCCCTTGGAGAACAGGAGCAGAGCTGCCCTGCAAACCCTCAGGGGAGCGGGGCTCGCAGGTAAGCCAGAACATGCCCTGCCAAGTCCAGCTCCACCCTGCTGTTCTGCTGCCAGTGCTGGGGTGCGGATCTCTGCCGAGCTGCCGGTGACAATTCCCAGGACCAGGAGGAAGTGGTGCCGTCTTTAGAACAGGAAGATTTTTGGCTCCACTTCCCTGCTCCCCACTCTCAATCCCCACCACCTCTGCGCCCGGCTGAGGGGAGTAGAAAAACAAGTATGAATATAAGCCTCCACCTGAGTTACTTTCACGTCAGCTAATTAACCAACCAAACTGCCAATAAATTACTGTTATAAAATGTGTGTGTGCACAGGCACGTGTGTGTGGATGCAGTCCTGGCTTTTCTTCCTTGCTCCCTCCCTCGCAGGCAGCTTCAGACAAAGCCTCTGGCCTCTCCAGAAGGGACTCATCGGATCATGGGTGCCACGTAGTTGGCGGGGAAGAGGCCCAGTTTGTTGTGCAGGCGGCCGGTCCACCAGGACGGGTTGGAGCTATCCAGGACCTCAACCACCTCTCCAGAGCGGAACCCCAGTTCATCCTCCTCGAGGGCCTCAAAGTCGTACAGCGCCCGGGCCCACCGCACACGCTGTTGGGGGAAAGCACAGAGGGGTCCCACTAAGCTGGGGGTCGGCTGGGCTGGCCTGGGGACCAGCACGCAGAAGAGACTCTGCCAGCCCTGGCACCAAGACGAAGCCCTCCGCCAGCAGCCTGCCCAGAGCACTGCTGTGTGGCTCTGCAGAGACATCGCAAACCCCGCTGCCCCTGAAAGCGGACGCTGGCTGCACAGCCGAGCATGAAGTTTTCAGAACTCTTCAGGGTCACTCTTGAGACTCAGGACTTGGGCTGGCAGAGATGAAACTCTCCAGGCCCCAAGAGAATCCTTGAGAACTACTCTCCCTCCATCGACAGGTGGTCCTTTTCCTTTCTTCAAGTGACAAACAGAATGGCAGTGTGCCCAAACTAACAGCCCTTGGTACTGGCACAACTGGGTCAGGATGGTGCTCAGCGACCTCTCCACTAGAAACAGCTGAGACACGTGAGAAGGACAGGGCAAGGCCGCCGGCAGAAAGAGAGCAAGACTGGATGGTGCCGGGCTGGGACCACCCCACCCCGGGGCACCCCCACCCACCCCTGCTGCCCTTCACTCTCTGCTACTGCTACTTGAGCCCTGCAGACCTTGACGTCTCTCCTGGAGGAACAACTGTCCCTCTAATTACCCATCTGGACGCCTCCATCGACCCAGAGGGGAGAGCTCACGTACCCCGGCCACTTGGAGCTGCACTGGGTCCGTGTGTCTGCGGTGCATGAGGGCCACATTCATCTCGCCACCCAGGCCTATGCCACAGTGCCCATCGTTTATGTCAAGGCTGCCTCCACGACGGTCCTGCAGACAGATGCGAGACAGGTCCTGTCACCACGCTGCCAGAAGCATCCCTCCCAGTCTCCCCCAGTGCCTTGCTCAGATGCCATAAACACAGCCAGTGTTCCAGAATACTTGCTGATGATGACAATAAACCCTAGGTGATGGTGAGAGGAGGAAGCGTGACAAAGGGACCTTAGATTCTGAAGGCAAAGTTGGTGACAGGTGTCATTTATTCAATCAAGAGCTGTTTAGCAGGCACCTACCATACATCTAGTATTGTACTAAGCACTGGGGAAACGTAGCAGAAAGAGAAGGTCCCTTGTCTTCGTGAAGCGTCAGTTCAGAGGGGGCATTATGCACATTGAAGTGATAAGTGAGCAGAGAGAAGAGTGTCTAAGTCTGCCTGGGCAATCAGGGAAGACTTCATAGAGGAAGTGATACTTGAACTCCAGCTTAAAGGATTGGCCAGGAGAGAGAATTTCAGGCAGAGGGGACAGTATATAAAAGCCTCGAAGGCATGAGAGAAGATGCAATGGACCCTGCTGCCAACTAGAGGTAGCGCGGCACTGCTGGGAGGGGTGTTTGTGTGGGGCACAGAGGGAGGCAGCGGGAGATGAGGCTGGGGAAACAGATACGAGCAGCTCACAAAGGACTCTGGGTGCCCTGGTAAGGAATTCGGGAACGATGTTATCTGCTATATTGTCCATCTCGGTAAGCCGCCTAAAATCCCATCTGCAACAAGGCAGGGAGGGGGGTTCGGATAACAAACGAACTAAATAAATAAATAAGCAAGGCTCCATGGCAGGTGTTAATCCGCTTTTCTTGTAGATCTCCGGCAGCCAGGTGGGTTAAGCAGCATGAATAGATTTGAAATTGTGCTGATGGGAAAACCAGCAACTGTTTGCTGAGCCCTTGGAGGGAGAAAGCGTGTGTGCGCGGGTGTGGGCAGGCAGGCAGCCGTTTGGCTCTGACTCATAGAGCCGACTTTGCCCAGGCAGTCTCCCGAGCCTATTTCTGCCATTTGGGGGCCCCGGGATCTCCTTTCTGAGTGTAGTGAGACCGGATGAGGCTGGGCCAGGCCAGCAGCCCCAGGACCGCAACAGAACCCTGGCACTCATTTGCTACCCTTGCTTCCAGCGTTGTGGGGTGTTTTCTTGCAGGAAGTGGCAGTGGGAACAAAGTGTCCTGAGCCTCCAGGGGAAGGGTGCCCTGCCCCATCCTTTCCAGGTACCTGATGAAAATGGTGATGCTGCATGTACCGCTGCTGTGGGGGTTGGCCTGAGGGGTGCTGCGAGGGAGGGGGCGGCGGGTGATCCGACAGCTTCCGGTTCATCAAAGGCCGCATTTCTTCTCCCACAGTCCCACTGAGGTGTGGGCCTCCCTGGGCCCTCTGGTCCAGGCTGTTGCTCCTGCGACCCTGGGAGAGAACAAAGATGACTGGATCCCTCCTCCTCCCATATCTCCTGGCCCTATCCCCCCGCAACCCTTCGGGCAGCTGTTCCCAGACTCTGCTCATGACAGCTCCGAGAAACAGCTGATGGGTGGGGGCAGCTTAACGAGAACCCACAGTTCAGACCCTCCGTGTTCTCAGATTCTCCCACTTTGGGGATGTCAGGTCTCTGGGTCACAGACTGACACTTTCCACATGGTATTTATTTGGTCCATTCCCAGGGGGCTTGTTGTTCTCTATGTAATCAAGCTTAGATATCCTATTTTACTGACATAATGCCACCCCTCCTTATCGCATGTTGCCACACTGCTGGACATCCTACCCTCCAGATAAGCCCTGCTATTGCCTTTGCAGATTTTGAACTGTCGTTTAGAGCCTGGTTAAAGAGGCCAAAACACAACAGTCTTGCAGCACCATGGAAACTGGGCCTGCACTGGGCATGCTGGGAGGAGCAAGGTCTTCTTCTTGCTATAACCGCTTCAGGAGACAGAGGGAGTTATTTTTATTTATCAATTTAGAGAGCCCTGGGCTTAGTTACTACAAGCCAGGCACTATTCTAAGCACTTGAGGGAGATGAACTCACTTAATCCAGTTTAAGGCAGTTTTATGTTGCCTTTCTTATCTCCGCATGTACATCCTAGTAATTAATACCTCTGTCCACTTCCTGGTTAAAATAATTGGTTAATCTTTGTATTTCTTTCTGAACTTCTGTGTGTGCTTGATGGGAACACCCTTTTCTCTTTTGATTGTAACTTCTCAGGCTTAAAATCAGCCAATAACTTGAAAGGGATGGTTTTCTTCATGTCCCCAAAGTATGTGTTGCTCTGAAAGTCTCAAGTGCCTTTCCCAACAACCAGCCCTGGGATTGCAACTGTTCCCGTCAGTACTCCCTCCGATACCAGTCTCCTGTGCCATGTCGTTTCCTTTGAAAAGTATTCTACATATTTTGTGTGGATGTGTGCGTGGATGTGTGTGTGTGTGTGTGGATTTACTTGTGGAAGGCAAGCTGGTATTTCCTCTGAGCCTATTGTGGACCAGACTCTGCAACAAGTGCTGCAACTATATTTCTCATTCGACTGTCACAGCAGCCCAGTGATGGAGGCATTACATTCTCTCCCTCCTATGATGGGAAAACTCGTGCTCAGAAAGGCTGTCTTCACTTGGCTAGGTGATGAGGATAGCCGGCGACAGAATCAGGATTTATAGCCAGGTCTGTCCCATGCATTTCCTAGGAAAATACTATTCTACATTCCAAATTGTTCCAAGAGCAAGAATTCCAGGGCTAGTTTTCTCCTCCAACACCTCCTCCCACCCCAAATCCTATCGTAAAGCTCTAGAGAGGCCACCAACTGTGATGTGGTAACATCGGTGACAAAAGAATGGCACCCACAGTCGGGGCTCCTGTGCACTGAGCGCTTGCAGGGTGACCAGGATGATGTGCGAGAAGGGGACACATCACTTCCAACCTTCGCAGCCGTCCTACGAAGCAGATATCACTATCGCCCCTTCTCGCACATCATCCTGGTTGCAATGTTACGGAAGAGGAAATGGAGGGTGGCAGGACTTTCCAAAGTCACGTGGCCAGGCAGTGTTAAGATTGAAGCTGAGACCTGACTGCAGAGTTAGTCTATCTTTCTGAAGCCTCTGAGCACCTGCCCGTCAAACACGCCCCTTGGTGGTTCATGCAAGGCTGCGGCTGCCTCGTTTAGTGTCTAGACTGGGCGGACTGGGCCCGGAAGCATACCGGATCCTCTCGCGTTCTGTCCCTCAGGAAGATCTGCTTCTGTTTGGAGATGGAAGTCGTCCTGTAGTAGTCCACCAGCTTATTTAGGGATGGAAACTTCTCTGTCCATAGGAAATAATTACCCTTGTTGTCTCTCATGACCTTGAAGTGCTGAACATCATCCTCATGCCTAGAAATAAGGGCAAATTCAAACTGTGTTACTTGGTGGCAACGTCCCCGCCCTCAGGGTTGACCGCATCCAGCAGGGGGAGTTCTTCAGGGCAGGACAGAAGTGGGTGGCTCGCTTAGTACTGGGCTCTAGGGGTAGGTCTGGGACAGATCTGCAGGACATAGGCTGCGCTAGAGCAGGAGTAATTTGTCTTCTGACACTGGAGCCAATCTTCTACAAGAAATGTTCCAAGAGCTCTAAAGACTGTGAGGTCAAGGACCTTTCAACAATGTGCATCTGAAACTCGACAACCCTGGAGCCCTGCGCTATGCTAAGGGCTCTGCCAAGACTCGGGGGGAGGGGTTTCCAAGCCCTTGTTATCTTTCTGTTTTCAGAAACACTTTGAACCAGCTCCTTCAAGCCCATAGACTTGTTCCGGACAGTAAGACACCACCTTGAGAAATTTGTCACGCTTTGTTCTCTGTGTAGATCTCTTGGTCTTGATATATGTTTTGCATAAATAAGGTTGCAAAGCATTTGGAGCTTTTGAGGAAAGAAGTATTGTATAAACGTGTAGAGTTTTAATTGGAAAGGACTTCAGAGACTGTTTATCTTTATGTCTACCTGTTACAGCTGAGGAAACAGATGGAGGGCCTTGGTCAAGGTCACCACAGGTGAATGGCAGAGCTGAGGCGGGAACCCTGGGGTCTGACCCCAGCCACACCATGTGCACATGCTGACTTCTTTCAGACGAGCATCTTTGGACACCGGCTGGACTCACAGGGGCTGGGCATATTGGTAAGCAGGGGTGCAGAGATGGGATTTTATTCATTAGGAAAGGGGGCCCTGGGCCTTTATTAGTATCTCCAAGTCATTCTCTTTAGGATATCAAGTTTACTTGTGAAATGGACATACACTTATATGTAAAAATTAACTGACATTAATTGTACCAATTGCCTGACCCAAAAAGTCAAGAATTTAAAGAGTGTTGGAGCGTAAAGACACCTGAAGGCTGGTGGAAGTTTCTTAGAGGTGGACTGAGTGGTCTGTGTGCAGAGGGGACAGGGATTCTGATCGTCAGCCTCATTGATGTGCTGTGCTCCACTCGTGGCCAGGCGAACCACTCGATGACCTCTGCCACGTGGCTCAGGGGCAGTACCCAGCACTCTGTAATAGCTGCATGGCCTTCACCTTGGTTTTGGCCGTTAACAGATGTTTTCTTCACTCGAACACCACATGGCTTGACTCATAGTCATTACCCCTCACATTTGGGTGAGGAGGTGGAAATATCCTTGTGGTATAATTATTCATCCACCCTCTCTGGCTGAAGAACACAGAGTGAGAAACATTAACCCTTTCACTCTCGTGAGCTGAGAGGGTGGATGCTGGGGTTGCATTTGGTCAACGGCGCTGATGGAAAGAGAGTGCTCTGAGAGGGGCAGAGACAAGGCTACAACCCAGGGCTCCAGACGCTGAAGTCCAATGTTTCAGACCCTTATCAAATGCTAAGTGATGAAACCACTATTAGCTCTGAATTATCTGAGCTTGAGACAGAAAGCAGATGTATAAATAAATGAATTAAAATGATCTCACTCTGAAATACATTACACTACATTTCTGCAGAATATGTGGTAATGATTATGGTAATAATCACTGTACAAGAAGCTGCATTGCCTCAGTAGCAGGGGAAGACTCTGGCAGAAGTCAAGGCTGACCATTTTGTAGAATTTTCTCTAATCAAGGAAATATAAACCATGGTTCATAGCAGAGCAAGCCAGAGTCAACTTCACGCAAACCAAAGGCACCAAGAGATGCCCTCTCTCTAACAATTTACTTGGTCCACTCTATAATCAGGGCCCTCAATCAAGAGGTTTGACTTATAAGATTTATTAAGTGCATAATTTCATCAATTAAGGCCGAATAAGCTTAGAGTTTGTGACTCATCAATATTGGCCTGACTTAAACACACCATCGCCCAAGCTGTGGACAAGGAAGGACAGTCAAGAGCCTGGGTGAGACTCCAAGGGTACTGTGGACAAGAAGTCCAAGCTGTTTGTGAGCACTTTAGGGGCACCTGTGCATAAAAATGGTTGACCCATTATTAGTAAATCCCTGTCTATTCCTTAAAAATATCCATTCTTTCTAAATAATCAAGTGACCTCAGTTTATCGCCTGAGATCGGACTTATGTACTTAAAGCACTCAGACTACATGCCTTCCAAAATGTGTCGAATAATCCAGACCAGCATTTCCTGGCCACTACCTCGACGGCAGAGTTCACTGCACAGGCCACCACCCTCCTTCACCGCCGTCACCTTTCATTCTTGCATTTTCACATGTGGTCACCAAGTCTGAAACGTCACTGGCAGCCCCTGACACGCTGACCACACGCTGTGTGTTCAGACTTCGGAGCGAGGGGCTGTGTCATGTGTGTGCCTGGACTGAGTCACTTCCTGCACATCAGAGAGATTTTGCTATTGGGCTCTACCCCCTCACCTCCCGTGCCCCCTCCTCTGCTGCCCTCAGCTGTGGGTGTCTGCCCTTCTCCTTGCTCGGTGGCAGCAGCTCCGTGTGTACCCTACAGCAATGACCTGGGGCTTTTGTTTCTCTCTGACCCTGCTTCAGGCATCCACCAGTAGTGAAAGGCTACAGTGTAGATGGATGTGGATAATTCTTTCCGACTTCTTTCCACAAACTCTCATTGAGCACCTACTGGGCACAAGGTACTGTTAAAGGTACAGAGGTAAAGCAGATAAAAATCCTGTTTTTCCAGAAGCACTTGGGCTGGGGACACGGGGCAGATAAGTGTACAAACAATTTTGACCACAAACCAATGTGCTAAGGAGTTACATGAATGTGTTATGGGAAGGAAATGAATAGTATCACAGTTGGAAAGATGCCTGGGCCCTGTGGCCACCGTGCTCCTGAGCAATAATAGGTCATGTTCAAGACATCACCTCATGGCTTTAGCAGTCTGGGTCAGGGAGGTGTCGGGAATGGCCAGTACCTGACAGAAATGGAGAAGTCCCCCGGGGAGCTCTGGCTGGCCCGAATGATGAAGAAACCAACCTCCTTGCCCATGAGTAAGTTCTCTGCCTGGTGTCGCGAGAGTCCTTCGTGAAACCATCTATCGGGTGAGAAAAAACCAGAGGGTGTTGGTGAGATACCAGAGTGACAGGAGGGGGAAGTAGAGGTGAGATGACCCCGAAGGGAGAGGGCTGAGGTCTCTGTTCAGCGGGCAGCAGGGGAAACTGCTCCCTGCGGTGTTCAGGCACTGCCAGTGCAATGATCCCTCTGTCCCCCTTGGAGAAGCCTCTGCAGCTCAGAAAGCCCAATTGGGGAAATTGCTGCTGCACCAAATGGGACAGGGTGGGAGTGACTCGCTGGGGGGAGCAGCCTCCTGCTGGCAGCTGCATGAGGGATGCTGCTAGGAAAGAACGGCAGGGGCATCCGATGTGACGGGAGGACAGGGATCCCTTCAGTCCCTGGGGGCGAGCAGCGACCTGGCGGAGCTGGGAAGGGCCTTGGGTGCTGGCTCGGGCCCTGTGCTCGTCTTACTGAAGGCACCGCCGCCGGGGCTGCGAGGCGCCCAGGGACCCTGCACACGCGCTGGAAATGAGCAAAGCTGGCGTCAGCCAGGGAACCACGCCCACACATCGGGCTCCTGGGCCTCCTGGGCCTCCTCAGAAATCCAGGCTGTTAAGAATCTTTACGGTGGAAGAGAACACAAAGAGCAGAAACTGCCCCTCAGAGGTGCGGTGAGGGAGGCGACCTCAGGAAGTGCTGCTGCAGGTGGCCTGCAGCATCTGAAAATGACCAGGCGGATTTTCACCACGGGGTATTGCTGTCCGCATTTTCACCCCACAGCTAATAGGCCGTAAGGCAAACTGCCATAAAAAAGAGTTAAAATCACTAGAAAAAAAGAACAGAAAATTTAAAAGGCTTTATTTGAATCTGTTTAAAGTGAGTGTAGCTTCACGGCAGTACTACGCAGATAACTGACCTCAGTGTGTGCGTAGTGCCCAAGCCCTGGCCTCCGTTCTGTGGGGAATGTGGGCTCAGCACTAGGCTCTTGAAGAGGCCCCGCCTCTCCTCCCAGTCAGTGTGCTTCAGAGTGAGACCAGTCTTCATCCGCTGGGAGAAGCGCTATTTTAATGCCACCTCCTTGTTTACTCTGCTGTATAGACCATTCAGAGGGCTGGCTAAGATTTACAGATAATATAGATCACTGATAATGTAACTACAAGGCCTTGTCGATAGAAATAAAACGAAGCCAAACTGACAACTAGCTTAAATGGATTAAGTCTGTGCAAGGAAATTGATTGATTCATCAATGGAGAAATAAAACCAACCAAATAAACAAAAAAAACAAAATCAAACTGTCAACCAGTTATTTTCTTTTTTATGGTAGTAGATTCATCAATAAAGAAATGAGACTAAACCAGAGGGAAAAACCATCAATTGTCAACCAGTTATTTATCTTTTTAAAAAACAACAACAACAAAATTGTGGTCAGCCACCCAGTCATTCAGGGAAAATATTTGCAGCAAAGGCATCTACGGCAAAGACTCTACTGGAAAGTACCTGGAATGGAAAAGGGCTAAGCACTTCCACATAGGCTAGGCAAACAGTGGCTACAGCCTCAGGGCAGGAGCCCAGAAACTTCTCTCAACTACTGGAAACCAAAACAAGTGTTTGCAATCACTCGGGGCTAAAGGTGGGACTGGGTCCCCTTGCTCCAAGACGGCCACCTTAATTGCAGCCACTGGAAGGCAAGCGTGGGCGCCCCTTTAAGGTGAATGTCTAACAGGAACTGCTTGGATCCCTCTGTGAGCAATTCCCGTATTCTCTGGAATTTGGGAATTCCCAAATTTGGGAATTTGGGGTGGTGGGCGGGGTGCCCTTCTTCCAGACCGAGGACTGCAAGGGAAGGTTGGTTGGGCTCTGAGGGGCTGCAAGCCAAGGGTCCTGGTGACCACCTGCCTGAAGATCCTGCCAGAGTATGTGCCACACAACCCTACGGGGGTTCGTGCAGGAAATCGAATGGGGATGGGACAAAGAACAGGACCCACCTCACAGCAGCCACACCTCCAAGGAACTGTGTTAGAAGAGGCAGCAAGCAGTGACAGGACTGTTTAGAAAACATGCATTGGTCTCCCAACTGGAATTTGATAAGCAACTTTTTTCCAGGACTTGCCAAACTGTCTACATACTACATATTAAAAAGTGGCCAGGTTTTCAATATTACATATCATTCCTAAGATATTCATTCATTTATTTAACAGCTGTAATTACATAGGAAGTGCCAGGCCCTCTTCTGGGCACTAGGATAAGTGGTGAGCAGAATAGACAAGAAAAAGACTCCTGCCCGCCTGGAGCTTACATCGTCACGTGAGGGCACACAGGAAACAACATTAGACTTATGATATATTGTATGTCAGATGATGGTAAGAGCTGTGGGGACAATGAAAACCAAGAGGAGGGATGAGGAGTGGGGGAGGGATTTAAAATACCTTGACAGGGAGGACCTCCCTGGGAGCAGGACATTCGAAAGGAGATTAGGAAGCTGAGCAGAAAGCATGTGGGATGGAAGAGCGGCCAGGAGGAAGGGCGTCCCAGAGCCAAATGAACAAAGCGTTTCAATGGAAAGGAAAGGTCCCCACATCAAATTGTGCTGAAATGATGGCTGAGAATGGACCAAGGACCAGTAGTTCACTGTGACCTTGACAGAAAGGTTCACAGGAGTCTGAAGATTCTAGAGGGAGCAGGAGGAGAGGAGTTAGAGACAACAAATGTAAACAATTCCTTTGACTGAAGTACGGTGGTAGTTGGGGGAGGATTTGGGGTCCAGAGTTTCTTGTCTGCTTTTGGTTTTGGTTTTTGGTAGGATGGGAGAAACTGCAGCATCTTTGTTTGCCGACAGGAATGACTGAGCAGAGAGGGAAAGAAAGTTGATGTGGGGGAGGGAGGGTGGTTTTTTGCTAGAAGCAAGCCCGCTGCTGGAGGTGGGTGGATGCAGTGAGTCAGGTTGGAGGTGGGGTAGAGGGGTTTTTCTGGTCACTCCCACTAGCCCAGTGAACCTGGAAGCAAGGCCGTGGGCTGAGAGTGTGCTGGGGGAGGGGTGCAGATGTGAGGAACAGGGGAGGTGTGATTTTGTCATCTAGAAGATCACAGGGCGGCATCAAAGGCCAGCTGGAGGCAGTGTTTCAGTGGTCAGTGCTGGTTCACAGCGAGAGAAACTGCTGCACTTCCCCCCACTCACCAATACCGCTTTGGTTTTCTAGCAAACTTTTGCTCTTTGGGCTAGTCCCTGACTCTTAGACAAGATTAGATTTCAATCTAACCCTTGTGGTCAATTCTTGAGACAACGAGATTCAATCTCAAATTTTCATTTCCTCTTTATGAAGGGAATTTCCCTTTTTCTCCCACTGACTTCTCTCTTTGGTGTAAGCATGGTTCAAGGACGGCAGAGAGTGTCCACATGTCTGATCAGGGTCCAGAGCTGTTTGAGGTCCCTGGTGAGACCAGAAGCCAGGTTGGGAGATAAGTGCTTTGAAGTAGCAGCTCTTGAAGTGGGGAGGCTAACAGCTCTCCCACTGGAATTCTTGAAAACCCTGTGATTACACTTATAGATGATTTCAGTTTATGAACTTGAAATAGGCATATGAACACATGGTATAAAATTCAAAAGAGAGTGCAGCGAAATGAAAGTCTCTCCCACCCCTGGCCTTTAGCTGCATGTTTCCCTCTCCAGAGGCAACCACTGTTGACGGTATGTTGGGTGTGCCTGGCTGATTTTAGTGACTACTGAAGAGGTAAGGGGAGTGTGTGTGGGTAGGCCCATCTCAGCAGGCTGGAAATACTTACTCAGGAAACTGGATGTCGATAAAATTCTTAGGCACGTATCCTTCGTGGCTCCTGAGCTCTGCCTTGAACCACTCCTCCTGGTTACTTAAGATCTACATAGAAGAGAATAAAGGACAAAGACACCATAGGGAATACCCAAAGAACTATAAGAAAGAGTCTGCAGGGCAAAAAGCGCCCTTTGGGGTTTAGAGAAAATAAACCAAAGAAACCACACTTTTGGGGGTGCTGTGGGAGCAGCAGGGTCATCTTTGGAGTTTAGCTTTCCTTGACCCCAAGCTATTTCTGTCCACAAGTGCCACCTACACATGTGACACCACCACGGCGTGGCCTCCAAGACTCAGCACTCAGGGGCTCCCCTAAACCCCTTTCTCTTTTTATTTTCTGGGACGTTCCTATGTCCCAGGCCTCAGCATCTGGGCTGATGGTGAGAAGGCAAGAGCGGCTACTCCATATTTTCTCTTCTCGGCCAGGTAACCAGGAACCTCTTAAAAATTTAATTAGTTCTGTATTTTTTGGAACGAGCAGATTAAAATTTAAATGTCCAAGCGGGGCCAGTTTTGAAAACAGTAACTCTGTGTTCACACTCCTTATGTTTCGCAAATAATTTGGACATAACTCAAGGTATCTGGAATGCCTTTTCTAAACTCAGTTTTCAATCCAGGTCACAGACAAAACCAGAAGTTCTGTCTCATTACTGTATGGTCCTACCTTGACCTTGATTCCAAATGTTATCACCTACCTTTATTACTCATCTGACTGGCCAGACTTGGCTTTATGTGACTTCTGGTTAGTTCAGGAAATATTTCACCACTAGAAAACAAATACTTGCCCACACTCTACTCTCAGAGTGTTTCTAAAATACGTGATATAGACTTGAACAATGATTCAGAATGAAGATGGCAGAGCAAAACAACAGAAGGAACCTTGACGATGTCATTGAACCACTCACTCAGCCACCCAGGATGCCACCTACTTCTAAACTTTGGATGAAAAATAATAAACCATGGTTACTGTTTAAGCCATAGTTAGTGCCCATTTCTTTGTAGCTGAAAATGTCCAGCTGACAGAAGTGCTATGATGAAGGGGAAAGCAGAGGATGGATAGTAAAGACTGCCTGGGAGAGAGGACATCTGAGTTGTCTGGGCAATGACAGGAGTTAGCCAGGAGAAGCCTGATGTCAAAAAAACTACTTCTGGGATGTGAGGAAGTGCACTGCCTTCTGGGAGTAAAAAGCCTCAGTCTGGTGGGAGTTTGGATCATGGTCCAGAGGTAGAGAGAGGAGGAATTGGGAATGCTGGCCTTGTGGGCCACGTTAAAAGTTGGGGGATTTTTATCTTGAAACTGATGGGGAGCCATTAAAGGATGAGCCATTAAAGCAGAGAAATAAGACAGTAAGAATCAGAGCTAAGAAAGAGTGTTGCATCAGAGTGGAGATGGATAGGAAGGAGGAAGTCAGGGGGGGTGGGAGGGCGCTGTAGGAGGAGAAACTGTAGGAAGACGACTGACTGTAGGTGTCCAGGCAAGAGACGAAGGGGATCTGGGCTCAGGGGAGGTAAGGACATATTTCAGAGGAATCAGGAAGCAAAATGGGCAGGATTTCATGACTATTCGTGGAACTGAGGGAGGATGGGGATTCTGGGATGGTTCTGGAGTTTTGGCTTGGGAGACTGAGTGGGTGGTGAAGCCTTTACTAATATAGAAAATAGAGGAGGAGGAGCAGGTCTAAGGAAAAACTCATGGACATCAGATCATGTGTGGGTGAGTCCAAGTTGCCCCTGGGACCATCAGAGAAGAAAAGCTCAGTGAGCAGTGGGAGAGGTGTCTGGGCTCAGAAGTGAGGACGGGATTTTAGAATCACCGGGAAGTGGGTGAAGTTGAAGCCATGCGTCCCCTGGCTTTCTCTCTCCCAGTCATGAAAGGAGAATTAAAGAGAACTAAGTAATTGAGAAGCAGTGACGACCTATTTCCAATATCCCTCCCAAGGGGAAAGGAAGGGGACATCACAATGAGTTTGAAATGAGAAGACCTGGGTTCTAGTTTGACCCTGTCACTGGCTGTGCGACCTTTGGCAAGTCAATTGACCATCTGGAAAATGGGGACAAAAGGATGGGCTAACGCCTCCTGGAGTTGGTGTGAAGATCAAATGAGCCCTGTGCCCGGGATTCCTTCAGAAAGTGTGTGCTGTTTTTCAAAAATGTAATTCTGTGCAATGTGATATTCTTACAAGGGAGGACTCCAGCTCTGAAGGACACAGAAGGGTTTATACATGCTTTAAAGCATTCAATATGTATGTTTTGAATTTAATTATTTGTTCTGAAGAAATAAAAATGCACCCCATATTTGAGTTCTAGAATTGCTGAGAAAAGAAAACTCTATGGTTTCCAACATCACATGTGACTGTAGCTGTCACTGAGGACCTGTGGGTCTGTGTGTGCTGGGGGGTGGGAGGGGAGCAGAGAATCTAGGTCAGAAGAACTAAGAAACTCGGCACCAGCACCTGGTACGCACATGCCATGCACTAGGACATTTCACGCCATGCCATCTCCTGGACATACGGCTTTGGAATTCCTTCCTACCATCACATGGGAATTTGGAGTTTGGCCTGGGAGGCAAGTGTCAAGGAGGAGAGTGAACAGGGATGAGGTAAAAGAGGCCACCTGGAAACTGGCTCTTCGCAGTATGAACCACACTTTGTACTCTGTTCTCCTACCTGAAACCAGCTGTAATTTTAGTAATCGTGGCTCACACCCATCTGCCTCCTCCAGCAACGGAAAGATTATCTATTGCATGATGCTGGCCATTTCTCCCCACCACCTGGTGCTCAGTCTGCCAGAGGCTGTGTCCCCAGGGAGGTGAAGTTACAGGCTATTTTAGATGTCTAGAAGACACGGCTTTAAAAAATCCATTTTCTGCAAAGAAGAGTATTTGGGGGAGGTGGTTTCCTCCTGCCGTTGTTGGCACAGGGCCCCTGACTTCCTGTTCTCATCTCTCCATCTATTCGGTTCCCCTATCTCTTGTCCCCATCACGTAAACCTGAGCAAGGAGTTCAGCCTAAACACATGAGGTTTGACACTTTACTGTATCTTAATTCTCACAGCGCTGCCTCCCAGAATACATTTGCGGGCCCCATGGCCTGAGATGAGTTAGATGTGGGAAGAGGACAAAAGGTGTGGTTGAGAGAATTTTAAAATTGGATGGAATTACAGCTCTTAAAGGCATAGCAGAAAAGGGAAGTACTGAAGAAGTTAACGACACAGGATTAACTCTTAGTGCTTTTAAGTCCCTGTTTTAGTAGGAAGAAATGGGGTTGAACTAGTTCGTAGTGAATGGGTGAATGGTTGATTCCACATTACAGAAACAGACAGAAATCAACTGGGTCAAGAGACATGTTTTGAGATGACGGACATATCCAGCTGACGCTGCGTGTAGCTGCAGGCCCGCAGGTTTGTGACACGGACACAAGACACCACACTTCTGACCTGTCAAGTGTTTCTCTCTCAGAAGCAGCAGGATCAAGTTACTGGGCAGGAGTTCCCCCTCCACCACCTTGCTCACCACTCTGTGTTCGGCATCTAGTGAGCACCTGCTGTTTGTACTCAGGTGCTGGGAATGCAGAAGTGAATAAGCTGGGGCCTTTGCCCTGGGGAACTCACAGTCTGGAGGGGGTGGGTGGGTGGTGAGCTGGGAGCCATTTTTGTACCCTCTAATGAAAAACCTGGCTTAGTCTTCTAGTGCTAGAGCTAAACACAAAAGAGCATCCCGGGAGTGAGTTGCTGGGTCAGTCGAGAGATGGCTTTGAAAACATTTGTGAGGCTCCTGGGGTGTGTTACCCAGCTCTGGGGAGTGGGAGGGAAGGGACGGATGCTGCACTTTATGTGGAGAGACCCACAGGCAGGGCCACTAACTACCACGAGGCAGACATTCTGTGAGGCCCGGCCAGAGGGCACCTCTCTGCTTTTCTCTTTATTGCAACAATTGCAATGCTCAGACTTTGAAAAGAAGGAGTTTGTCTTCTGATGGAATTCCAAATAAGCATGCAGAAATGCAATTTAACAATTCAAGAAATGTGTCCAGGGCGCTTGTTTGGGACCAGGCTTTGTGTTAAATGCTGAGAAGATGCAAAGCCAACCCCGGCATGGCTTTGCTGTCAGGGCGCTCACAGACCAGTGGGAGAATCAACCATTCACCCATTCACTACGAATTAGCGAGGGTCACCTTTCTGCTCCTGTAGCCATTGAGGCAGGCCTGGTCCCTGCCTCACAGAGCTCTGTCCAGTGGCCGACAGGTAAATGACAGTCAGGATCCCATGGGGCAAGGGCAGCGATGGGAGGTGGTGGGTCAGGGATGTGTAGGGCTTGCGAGAGCACGGAGGCTTGGCCGGCCCATTAATAACTGTCATGTGAGGCGGGCTCGCCAGTGTGTTGAATGAGGTGTGTGTGAAATGCTGTGGAAATGCTGAAGATGGAGGGATTAATTTCCCCAGGGCAGTAGGGAGCGGGGGTTGGTGAGGGTTCCAAGGCAGAGGTGGTCAAATATGCGTGTGTAGAAGGGCATTTGGAGGATGGGGGAAGCCTGAGAAAAGACGGTAGACACAGTGCAGTGGCATGACCCAGGGGCATTAGTACATGAAGACTGTGTGTGTGTGTGTGCGCTCATGCACATGAGCGTGATGAGGTTGGGGTCAGATGGCTTCGATTTCAACCAACTGGTTATGGGGAACCACTGAAGGCTTCTGAATAAGGAAGTGGCATGACCTGATTTGTCATCTAGAAAGATCCCTCTGGGAGTAGTACATAGCATGATTGAAGGAGGAAGACCCGGGGGGTGATGAGGTCAGTCAAGGGGCTGTGGCAATAGTCTGAACAGTCAGAGAGCAGGAGTGAGTAATACTAATAACATGGTGGCCATTTACTGAGCATTCGCTTTGGGATGGGGACATTACTTCTAATCCGTTCTACAACCCTGCAAGAAAGATAGATCCTCCACTTATAGAAGATACTGAAGCTCAGAGGGGGCGAGTGACTGGCCTCAGGTCACACAGCTAGCAAACTGGGATTCAAATTCAAATTTAGCTGGCTCCAAAGTTCCTTGCTCCTTTTTACTGCATTAGGCCCCTCTCCAGCAAAGAAGGGGGTTGCCCGAGAGATGTCAAGGAAGACACATCTTTAGAGCAGAGGACAGTGTTTGCGTGTCAGACAGAGCGCCATTCAAATCCAGAAGAGGGACGGTTAGCAGTGTCACATTCTACAGGCATTCTAGGGTCATTATATCCCGCACTAAGGACATCATTGGTGGATCTGAAGGGAGAACTGGGGGTAAAAGTCGGATCCCAGAGGGTTCCTGTGGAATGAACTGGAAGGGGGGCAGTGGAGGCGTCTAGCAGAGAGGATCTGTCCCTGTACTGGCAACAAAGAGAGGAAAGGAACTGGAAGCTGGATTGAGAAGCAGAGTTGACAAAAGTTGTTTTTTCTTTTAACTTTTCTAGGGAACAGGGAAAATTTAAGCAAGATAATAGATTCTGTTTGCAATGGGAGGTGAGAGGTGGGAGTTGGCTCCTCCCCCCCTGTAGAGTCACATATTCACAATACCCCATAAATTAGGGAAAGACTGGTCATCAAATGGCAGATCCCTCTGTGATCTTGGTCAGATTCCAGAGAAATTGGGATCTTTTCCTGGGTCAGGAGCCCAAGGACATTTCGACTTTGAGAGGCTCCAACACAGAAGGTGCACTTTTTGCAGCCACATTATTAGATCTTGCAAGGTGAGAACAGTTAGGAGGATAAATACTGGGGGTGTCCAAGTTCCGAACCAAGTCATCATCTGGTTTACGCTCCACAGACTCTTTCTGAGTCACCCTCTCACGTACTGACAAGGTTCTTCCTATCACAAGAGTAATTTTTAGTGGTGAGACAATGGTGGCCGCAGTGCTGCTGGGCTGGCCGTGTGGGCTGCTGAGGGCCAGGGATCAGGACGTTCGAGGGTGCTCTGAGGACGGGGTAGGCGGTGTTGGCATCCCAGACTCCTCGTGCCCTCTCGAGGGGTTTGTGCTCTTTTGCACAAAACAGGGGCTAAGACACAGAGTCTGTGAGTGTGGGGCATGAAATCTGGGAGAGGTACAAGGCCTCGTCAGTTTAGCAAGTGGCCACTAGGACTCAAGTACCGGCTGGGTGTGCGTGGCCTTTGCTGAGTCTCCTCCAGCTGCCTTTCCCATAGGCTGTCTCCACTGCACCCTCCTCTTGTAAGTCCTAGCCATGCTGAATCTGACAGTGCTCACAAAATTCTGCACGGGCTTGCTTATTTCCAAGCTTTCACTAAAAGCCCAGCTCACCTTCATTATACCCCGAACAACTGATGTTGCCACACATGCCTACAGACCCATCTTTCAAGGTGGGATCACTTGTCTCCTCCTCTGTGGTTCCCAAGCTCTCAGACAAGAACATCTGTAACAGTCCTTTGAGTTCATTTGCTTCCCCTCCAGAGACCACAAGCATCTTAGGGCAAGAATATGGCTTGTGCCAACTGGACTTCCATCACCTGGCCTTCCATCACCTGGCCTGATAGCTGGCACACAGGTACTGGAAGGAACCCTTCTGATTGAAGGTAAACTTTTTTTGAAAGGAACCGTGTGTAGTTCTTAAGAAACAAAGGCATGGACTCAGTGAGCAGAGCAACCTAAACTCCCCACGGAGCCCCTGTGCCCCAGGTCACCTACCTTCAGAATATCTCCGGTGTGAAAACTCAGTTCGTCCTCACCTGAGGCCGTGAAATCAAACTTGGCGATGGCTTCCATGTTGTGATGTGAAGCTGGAAGAAAAGCAATGTGGTCATTGTGCCTTTCTGCCAGGAGAAGGGTAGCAGAGCAGGTGGTGCTGCATAGCAGTCTCAGCAGTTGATAGGCGAGGGGTCGAATGTCTCTAGGCCAGAGAGAGAGGCCCAGGTGCACAGTGAGAACTTTTGTTTTTGAGAAGGGCTGCTGGAGCCTTTAGGACCTGCATTCTGACATCTTCCTCCGAATCCCCAGATGCCAGGAGCAGAAAATGAAAGGCAGACTGACTCTCCTTTCATCTCCCTTTGCCTGTCACCATTCCTGGGCCATCTCCATGTCTGGTTCATGGGGAAAAGACTTGCTCTCATCTCTAACTGGAAGCCTAGGGGGCTGGAAAAGCTGTTCTGCACCATGGTCCCAAGGCTGCCCCTTGGCAGCTCTGCTTAACCGTGCAGTGTTAGTTAGACAGATGCTATTGTCTCCTTTGCGTCTGAATTGCTTCGGAGAATTGGACAGCGTTGGCCAGTGGGGAACTTCAGGGCCTTCTGTGTGGTTTGAGAGTAGAAAGCACTCTGGTTTTAGAGTTGGCAGGCTCAACAGGCCAGCTTCCTTATTTATTTTATTAATGTAGTATAAACCAAGTACATTTGAAAACTTTTCACTTTATTACTTCCTAACTGAGTTAAAATATTGACCCCTCCTATTCCTAGATGAGACCTGTGTGAGATAAATAGGTCAGCCTACAAATGAAACAGAGGTTTAGGTTCTAGGAGATAGTGGGGATGTAAGAAAGAGCTGAGACCTGATTTTGTTGGTGAATAGCTAGCTCTATGATTTTGTACATGTAATTAGACCTCTTGGAGTCTAAGTTTCCTCACCTGTAAAATGGAGGTCATAATAGTCAACTAATAAGAAGTGAAATTAAATTAAATAATAGAGGCAAAATGTCATAGAAGATAAAGCTAAGTAGCATTTTTGTTTTAAAATAATTTGATGGGGTTAATTTATCCTCAGCAAAGGTATAGCCTGGCTAACAGCAGCCCAACTTTCCTTCTGACTTCTCTCATCTCCTAGAAACTTTTCTGTGATATTTGATGTTTGTTCTCCATGACCCTCAAACCCCTCAGCCCTCCGCTAAGATGACTTACTATCAGGATGCAGCCTGAAAAGCTGTTGTTCGGTTTTCATGTTTTGCAAAATTTGCTTAAGTCCCAAACACTTCAGATTAGTAACCCCAAACCTAATTGACTTTCAGTGACCAGTAAACTAGAACTACAATTGTCCCCTCAACGGGGATTTCTGCCCAAGTGACAAGATCTGGGTAAATAAGGAAGGTGGCCACTGGTGGTCAGGCGCAGTGGCAGACATCTGGGGATTGAAGCCGACTGCAACAGCGGTGATAGCAGCAGGCTCATTTCTTTGATTTTTCACCTCTGCTTGGTCATCCAAAGGCAATTTGTTGAGATGAATATTACCAATCCCAAAGATATTAAGCAAAAAATACTTTAGCAGCCAAAGTAAAATGTCATCACTGTCTGAGCTTACTCATCAGCCAAAACTACCCTCCCCTCAAAAGTATACTTTTTGTACACTTTCTGCAAGATCTGTCCATCTAAGGCAAATTAAAATTTCGTGACCTAGGATGACCCACTCAACAGGAAAGCATACTCTGCCCTCCTTAGTGAATACTAAATGCCTTTGTCGATTTGATTCACCCCATTACTTTAACATGCAAAGCGTCCCCTAATTAAGGCCTTGCCTCTAGTTGGCACCACATTAGAATGTGGTATCTGTGGGTCATCCTCATGGTGTCAACAGTAGACACTGGTCGCCTCAGGAGATCAAGTGTCAGGTGAATGGTCCTGAAAACCAACATCCCATTTCTATGCAAATTTAGCTTAATAAGCAGGAGGGAGACAAGGGGAGTGCCATGCTAAACATATTAGAAAGTCACATAAATTAGAGATGAAAAGAATATTAAAGGCATGCTCTAGATAATGACCTTGAGCTTGGGAAGCTGTTTCCTATATTACATGTAATCCAGATCAGGCCTTGGTTCAGACTGGCTATAAGTCACTTCAGTGAAAGGGCCGAGGCCGAAGGAGAGTCGCTTCTGAGTGGGGGCCCTTTTCCCTGCCCCCCCAGGAGGCAGGTGGCGCCGCAAAGCCAACCACACAGGTGCACCGCAGAGCTCCCCAGCTTATGGTATTAATCCTGGCTCAAAAACCCAATTACACAGGCCTGCTCTTTAGGAAATCACTTTGAAAATATTTGTTTGCATCCCATTTCCATTTGTGAAATGAAATCTATTCAGAGGCTATTGGGTAGGAGGAAGATGTTCATGGTGAAGTGGCTTATGCTCTGTTTTTGTTCAAATCATGGGGCTTTACAAATTCTTTCTTTGAATTTACCATTTTCTGCTTCCCTGATAGCAGAGGAAGGTAAATGTGCCACCCCTAGGGGTCAGTCTCCTCTTTGATCATAGAATTGCATAAAAATTTATATCCCATTCCTCTACAGCCATTAATTTTTTTTTATCTTCACCTGAGGGTATGTTTATTGATTTTAGAGAGAGAGGCAAGGATAGAGAGAGGGAGAGAGGGAGAGACAGACAGACAGACATCAGTGTGAGAGAGAAGCATCTATCTGTTGCTTCCCATACACATCCCAAATGGGGATTGAACCTGCAACCCAGGTATGTGCCCTGACTGGGGATCGAACCTGCAACCTCTAGGTGTTCCAGATGACACTCTAACCAACCGAGCCACTTGGCCAGGGCTATTAGTTTTAATTTTGCCACCATGGAGAAAGAAAACTGAACCTATGTAGTTTATTCAGTATTTATCTATTGTTTTGCAATCTATACCTTCCAACACTGCATACTGCATCTGAGGAACAAAATATATACGATGGAGATAAAACATGGTAGCAACAATTTCAAGATAGAAAAGAGGAGAGAGAGAGCAGTCATCTCTACAATTCGAGAATGCAATGGCACCTTCTCGATGCTGTTTGCAGTAACAGTGCTTCTGACCTCACGGGTATATGAAGACAGGGCCACCTATTCAGAGAACATCCCAGTTGGATTAGATGTGGTCCTTCTGCCAGTGATCAGCTTTAGAAATGGCTAAAATGCTACCTGCCATAGAATGTGAGTGAGAAGTGACAGGATTCCAGGGCAGCAAAACCACCCCCAGCAGCCTCCCCGTACCTACCCCAACCCAGTGACAAAGCCTCCTGCCCCTACTGCTCCCTCTGCTTCTCACCAGCCCTCTGCTACGGTCTCACCCCCCCTCATGAATTGCATGTAATATCCATTAGCAGCCCTGCGACACAGATCTGCTTCACGACGAGGCATCCAGCCCCCCACAGGACTTCCCGAGGCACAATTTTCTCTGCCCTTGCATTTCCATTTAAGCTTCTTTTACCAGTAAAAGGACCTGAAAAATATTCAGACTATATACGAGGAACACTTTCCTACTTCTAAAATACAGTCACCACAGAGGATGTAAACAGAAGCCATGAGACAGTCCTTTAAAATATCCTTAATTGGTGTCATTCACCTAGATTTGAATACCTGTCACACATAATGCCAACGCATACAGACATTTTTGTGAAAACGTAGTTGATGAAGTGTCTCATCGCCCATATTTTCAAACGCCGCCATAATGACAAAATCATGTAACACGAAACTGGTTAGATTTTGCAAGAGGAGCTCTCATGCCAGAGCTCACACAGCCTTTTCCCTCCTTCCTTCAGCAACTTAGTGTCTGGAGCCATTAATAATTTTTTTTAATCCAGAAGGTATATAGAAACCTTTTCAGATTTTTCATCTGATTTGTTCATGCAGATGTAGTTCCATCAAAATACCTTACTTTCCCTTAAGGTATTTGTTGCACAGGCAGACACTTCTGTATTTAGAAATTTTGATTTCAGTTCATTAAAAACTGCAAAACCAATCTGTATCATGTACCAAACTGATTAAAATACAACAACATGTTTATTGAAAAAAAGTACCCTTAATTGAAAGCCATATTAAGTGAATGTGTTCAGAAACACACAGCTACTGTCAAAATGGTGTCAGGCAAGAAACTTCTTGAAAGATGTCAGCTCCTCCTAAGTGGGCTATGAATAGCCAAGGGTTCTTTTTATGCGTCTCTTAAAAAGAGCAATTGCATAACATCAGAAAGCTGCTTGGAGATTCAGGCTCAGGACCCGGAAGAGAGAGCCTGAACCGAATCAGTGACACCACTCCCTACTTTTCTGGGGGGAGTTCTAATTTGAAGATTGTGTGACTGCCCCAGTTCCTGTTGTAATTCAGTTAAGACAATGCCTCAGGGGCAAAGAGAGAGAGAGAGGGAAACACTGCTCCTTCCAAGCACAGTTGACTGTTGAACAACATGGGGGTTAGGGGTGCTGACCCCACGCTCAAAAACTCGCTAAGAACTTTTGACTCCCCGAAAGCCTAGCAGTCCCTTGGTATTCTGGACTGGTTCCAGAACTCCCACAGATAAGAAAATCCGAGGTTGCTCAAGTCTTCTAACTGAAAGCGATGTATACGGCAGGCCCTCCTCCTCTGGGCACTCCTAGCCTCAGATTGGAAACAGTATAGGTATTCACTGGAACGAACAACCAAACAACAAACCCACGCATAAGTAAACTGGCACAGTTCAAATCCATGTCGTTCCAGGACCAGCTATATTGCTGGCAGCATATTTATCAGGACATCAGCAACAAATGTAATTTTTATGAATTGATCTTGTGCATGAAATAAAGTGATAGAATAGTAAGGAGTTAACATTTTAGGATTTTGGCTGTAGTTATGAAGATGAATGTGGCAAAAAATGTGAAGCTATGCCAACCGCTGAACTTCACCTAAGGCAGACTCCTGGGCCCACAGCCTTTCTACCTGTCGAAGCCCCTCCTGGAGACAATGGGCAGGTAAAGCACCCGCTGCCCTCTGCAACTGCTGGGTCAGCTCAGTGACGTTTCAGAAGTAGGAAACCTCACCTGCCAGGAAAATGATTCATGATTATAGCTAAGCCTCACTGTATACAATAGATAAGTTCTTGAAAAGTTATTATGAGTAGAGTATTTGTAAATGGAATCATATTAGCATGCATATGGAAGCTCACTGCATAAAAGAACCCTGTGGTGAATCCTTTTACAAAATGAAAGGAAAAATTGTTATGCAAATCCCTACCTTTTAATTTATCTCTTTTAGAGTCTGGGTTTTCCTGCGCTGAGTCTTAAAAAAGAGCACACCTGTGCAACCTCACAGCACCTCACACCCTGGGTTTAGTAAATATTAGTTTTCCTTCTTCTTAACTCTCAAAATCCTTTGAAAAGCCTCTCCTATGGATCTACAATGTTTCACTTGGAGTACAGACTAGGAGTCATCAAATCTTTTCTGTAAGGGCCAGAGAGTGAATATTTTTGGCTGTGTGGCCATATGGTCTCTGCCACAACCACCCCGCTGTGCTGCTGTAGCCAGAAGGCAGCCACGGAGAAAAGTAAAGGAATGGGAGAAACTAGAGTCCAATGAAACTATATTTATGAAAGCTGAAATTTGAACATAATTTTTAAAAAGATTTTATTTATTCATCTTTAGAGGGGGAAGGGAAGGAAAGGAGAGAGGGAGAGAAACATCAGTGTATGGTTGCCTCTGTGCATTCCCTGCTGGGAACTGGCCATTCCCTGACTGGGAATCGAACTGCAGTCCCTTTGTTTACAGGCCCCCGCTCATCCACTGAGCTACACCAGCCAGGTGAACGTAATTTTTACATGGATGAAGTATTATTGGTTTTCTGATTTTTCCACCACTATTTACAAATGGGAAAACCATCTTAGCTCATGCTCAAAACTATGTGACAGCTTGAATTTGGCCTACTGGCCATAGCTTGCCACCCCCTGGCATACACATTTATTTATATCTGTATCCTCTCTCTTCTTTATAAACTTCTTAAGGAGAAGGGTTGTAGCTCAGAGGACAGAGGGTGGGCTTTGGAGTAGATGGACCTGGATTTGAACCTCAGATGTGCCATTTGCTTCCCAAGTACCCTGCTTCTTCATCCATAAGACAGGGGTGGCCACACTTACTGCATGGGTGTGTAGCGTGTTGGTGTGTATGAAGAACTTGACATACTCACTGCATGGATGTGTAGTGTGTTAGTGTATATAAGGAACTTGGCACACAGTAGGTGTCCAATAAGTGCTAATAGTAGCTGCTGTTATTTGTTCTTGGATTCCCTATAATACCTAACCAGTGTTTAGTAAGCACTTAGGGCATATTTGCTGAGTGAATAAAAACACGATAAATGACCTGCCATCAGAGTTATAACCATCATTGATTTCCTCAGGGAAGGGGCAGCAGATAGGACCCACTTACAAGGATCAATTAATTTCCCACTCAGAGGTACCCTGACTTCTCAGCAAACTCAGCCAGAGATAATGAAGTATACACCAATGCTAAATGTCTGATTTATTTAATCCAATAAAGGGCAATGGTGCTCCCCAAACCGTCAATTCCATCTTGTAACTTTCCTTTGTATCTTGAAGCCCCACAACCTTTTATCTAGACAGGTTTCTCGACTGTCCTCATTGTCTCTTGTGCCTTTGAAGGCACATAAACTTCGACATTTCAAAGAGTCTAAAACCCATAAAATACAGAATTGCTTAGATGAAAAAGATTGGAAACCATCTGTTCCTACACATTTCGTGATACTTAAATTTCCTCTGAGTTTCCCTAAAAGGGGGTCCCTGTTAATCTCACAGTGACTGGTTTCCTCATTCCTGCTTTTGATTTTAGCTCCATGGTTTGTGTTGAAGCCCGTATAGTGAGTGTGTGTGAACCCACTACACTAGGTGTGTGTGTCTGTCTGTCTGTCTGTCTGTCTGAAGCTGATGGCTGTGGCTGAAGCCTTTCTGCCTTAGTTTATTTCAGTGTCCTATCCTGTCCGGTGCCCAGTAAAAGGTGACAAACTGAGGCAGAAAGGCTCCGGTTACACTTGTAGAGTTCGGATAAAAGAAAAACATGCAGTAGGGGCTTCAACACAAATCGTTAATCTCAAAAATTCGTCAGAATAGGATGAACAGCTACCTATCATTCACCTGTCGGCCGCTGCTTAAACAGTCTTCTGGAAACGCAAACCAATCCAATCTGGAAAGGAAAGAGAAAGAAAGAAAGCAAAGATGGAGCATGGCCAAGAGGTTGAGGGCTGGCTTTCCCTCACTTTGGGTTCTCATATGACAACATTTTTGCTCTGCTCTAAACCAGCAGAAGCCCTGCCACAGCAGACCTTTTAGTCAGCTGGCCATGTTAGAAATGTCAACCTTGTCCCTGAACTGTCTGACAAGGCTTAAACTTCAAAAAAAACCACAACAACAAAAAACTGTGCTTGGTCTTGAATTACTTCTAACTCATCCTCTGAAATAGAGACCCCCAAATGTTATTCTAGTAAGATCCTTCTTCTGGGCTCTCTGGAAACTGTGATCTGTGGCCAGGTGCTGAGGGTGAGGTGGGAGTTGAATCATGGCAGCTATAACCCCGCTTACAGGTAGCTATGAACTTGGGAGTGGCTTTCAGGGGCCACCACTTTAAAAGATTTCCAACCCAGAATTCCTATGCTTCTCTAGACCTTGGACCTCCCAAGTCAGATGCAAGACTCTTTCGTTTTAGGCTCAAGATTCCAGAGGAATATTAATGGCCTTCTCAGGAGGACCTAGTTTATTTCCACAGGTGCTCTCTCCATGGGGTATAAACATTTCTGATTTTATTGCAACCAGAGTAAGTCAAGACAAGTGAACTATACCCCACCAGACCATTTCTGGTTGGTTGGCTGAGATTTTAATACCCTGTAAGAGCCTCCATTTTGTATGCTTTTATGCACGTATGGCATTGCTAGTTTCCTCTTGTCCCCAGGTGACTCATTATTTCCTCCTTGAAAGCCCCAGGAAACCATAAATCCCCTAGCACGACAGGCAGGGGTGAACACATGGAGCTGGATGGGCTCCAAAGCTTATCTGAGAACAGCAACTACTCGTGCTGACCCAATGCTAGTTGTGGAGACTGCAAGGAGGTGGCTTATGAAAGAAGCCTTCGGGGCATTCCCCATCTTTCTGTGCAGGTGTGTCCCCCACCTGCAGTCATTCTGTGGCTACTTCACTTCTGAGGAGAGCAGCAACAGAGCTGTCTCTGGTAACAGGTCTCTAACGGGCAGTGGGCTTGCAGGTGAAACAGGACACTTGGACAGGAGCAGTGTGCTGTCCTCTCCCTGGACATCAGGCTGAGACCAGAGGCCCCCTCGGCGGGGCTGGCCTCACACCCCCCGGCCCGGTTCTCTCCACCAGACCCTCTCTCTGCCAGCCTCCTACAGTGTCAGTCCCACCCTTCAGCCCTGCCTTGAAATTTCCTCCTGTTTTCCCAATGGGAACCATCCCTCCAGCTAGCAGGCACTTGATTTCTAGGTTTGGAAGCCACATAAATATATTTCAAAGACTTACAAACTTAATATGACTGGAGAGTCCCTCTAGATCCTGTAGATCCTTATTTAATCAAAGTGCTGTTCTGCAGGTCCCTGTCTGTCACTGTGGATTAGGGAGGTTTCATTGGTCTCGAGGATTTGAGGATTCGTCCCTCTTTTTAAATTGGCTCCTCTTTTCCTGCTTAAGGTTTTTGTTTTTGTTTCTGTTTTTCCGGGGGTGGGGTGAGGAGTGGGGAGCAAACAGAAGGGGAAAGGAAACAAATCAGGAGCTTGTCCCTGTGCAGGTCTCCTCCCCAGCCTTATAAATTGAGTGATGTCCAGATGAAGGGGCATTTGCTCTTCCTTTTTCTGGTTTAGTTTTTAAAAACTGTTTTTTGTTAAAGCACAGTTGACCTATAATATTCCTTGTTCTACTTTTTATTACCTCACTCTTCTTCAATCAACACCAGTCTGGCTTATAAACAACTTTTTCTAAGTTCAAAGCAAGTCACATAAACTCTTACTTGTCCTCAATATTTTTGTAAGAAAAATATCTTTTTCTTTAAATGCAATAAATGTCCTATCAAACTCAAGCAAATTCTTCCCTTTTCTTCCTAACTTGCCACTCTGTGTAAGGTGAGGCTGCCTGCAACTGTGGAGGTTCATGGGACCGGGATGTCAGGGGTGTCTGTTTCAAATCTCGAGTCTTACTTGATAGCTGGGGAAAGTTAACTTCTCTGTGCCTCAGTTTCCTCATCAAGAATCCAGTCATAATCCTCGCCCCACAACATTGTGAGGAAGAGGACGGAGAATGCTCGGTCTTCTTTGGAGTTCAACAGTTTAGCATCTTTCTCTAAAGCACTTTGGCATCTCTGCTATCTACCATCCTTTCTCATAGAGAAGACAATGACAAAACTTTCTAGAAAGTGTATATCTGCCAAGCATATACTCCTTTCAGCTTTCCAAGCCCCCCTTTTTCCTTATTTACCCTGCGCTAGTGCCAGCATCTCTCCACTCACTACCGTGCGCTGGCTGCAAAGCCACTGGAAGGTAAGTGGCCCTGTGATCAAGACAACCCAGGAAGAAAAGAGAGAAGATGCCACTGACCAGAGGGAAGTACAGAAATGGAAGCCTGGGAGACAGAACACCGACTTGGCTTCTCAACCTCGCTGTCAGCCCAGAGCTCAGTTGCTGCGCAGTCGTCTTGAAACAGGAAGCCCCTGGGCAGCCACACTGGGACAGCATGCAGCGAAGCCTCACCTGCGTCCAGGCACAACTGGCTAAGACTAAGCTCTGTGTATTGATAGGGTCTACCACTGTTATTATTATTACTATCACATTTAAAACTAATGCTGCATTCTGTAGCTGAGAAACTGAGGGGAGAGAGGAGTGAACTTGTCCGCTGGCTCCTAAGGCCATGCACTCTGCTTCCACACGGGCCCTCTGCCAGCCCTAGCAAAAGGGCGCGAGTCCCATGCTAATTCCGGATAACTACTAACTAGCTTGGGGCCCCCGAAACCTTCCTGAGCACTGTTCTTCAGCCGAGCAGTTGTCGGCAACAGTTCTCACACACCCACAAAATTCAAGGCCATTACTCCTCAAAGAGGCAAAGACTGCAATAAACTTGGCTGACCTCAGACCAGGCAATCATCTGCTTTAAGGCAATTGCAGAAATGGAAACAATCTCAGTTAATAAACTTACAAGCTACTGCTCTCTTCTTTTCCTTTCCTTTCTGTTCAGTGTTCTCTCTGTCTCACTCTTTTCTAACCTTTCCCACCATCAACTGTCCCCATAATATTTTTTCAAGTTCTTTTTCTACCTCCTTAAAACATTACTCACTATAATCTAATTAGGAAAAAAAAGTATATTTAAAATGCCTTTGTTTTTAAATCTCCTCCACTTTGCTTGTTTAAGTGACACCCTAAGCAAACATCAATCCAACAGGACAACAGTGAAGTGGAAAGAGCCCACCAACCCTGCTGGAGCCACTCCTTCCAGCCCCCCTCTGCTGCGGAGCTGACAGGACACTTGCCAGTCCCTCATTCGACCCTCATTGTTACCTAAAGTAATGACAACTGTCTACAGAGACACCGTGAATCCTGCTATCAAAACCCCAACATGAGTGAGGCATTAGTCACACCCACCCAGAATCAGAAATTACCTAATGAGCCCTGTAAGAAGGGTGGGAGGGGTGGCAGCGGATGCAGGTAGGGGGCAAAAAGGAGACAGGCAGACAGACAGACAGACATCTTGCAAATTTTCAGGCTTCATTTATTTTTTCACTTCCTAGTTCCTATTCACATCGTGATTTCCCCTCACATGCGTCACCGGGATTTCATGGTGCCTTCGCATTCTCCTTCCCCTTCCTCTCCTTCTGGTCACTCCGTGTTCGTTTCCATTGATTTTTATATTTGTTTCTATTGATTTCAGGAACCATGGAATATTGATCATGAATCTGAAAGCCTTCGTGGTCTTGCTCTGTCATCGCCACGGCTGAAAGGTCATTTGCAAATGCTGCACGTACACTCGGTGTCCTCTCTCCTTTTCTTTACCACCTGTGTCGCTTTAATTCTTATTTGGGCAAAGCTCAAAAGGGTACAGTAGATGACTGAACAACCACAACCACTTTAATCTTCTTGTCACTTTTTATTTATATACCCGAGCACCCATTTATTATTGGAATGCAGTCATTTTTCAGTTTGCTGGGCATACAATTCACCAAAGTGGACATTAAGCCATATAACAGCTTCCCTTGCTTCCCCTGATATGTCTGTCCTGAAAAGTTGGTGATAATTACATTTTAAAATATTAAGTTACCCATCAAGGCACTAAAAAGCTGCCAATTAAAAGAATGATAGTGTAAATTACTTCCATCAACTGGAAATTTAGGTCTTAATTTGAGTTTGCTTAAACTGAGGGACATGTGTACTTGCCTTGTTTCAAGTAGTTCTCTTTCTTCTTAATTGCCAGTTTTGATTTAGCCTCTTTTCCAGGCTATTGAGTTTAGGGCCCTACAGCAAGTAGGACCCTAAATCTTAGGTTCCCAAAGCTGGAAGTGACACTGAAGTCGATCCAGTCTTTCCCTAATTCACTGAGATGTCAGAGAATGGGCACGGGGAGGCGTGGAATTGGGAGGGGATGAATAACTTGGTGAATTGCTATAGTGAGCCACAATGGCTCATTCTAATTTTCAGTCTGAATTCTGCCCTAAGAAATAAAAGCTTTGGCTATGTGAAGATGCTCCCAAGTCCCGATTTCTTATTTATAAACATAAATGCCCCCAGGGTCCTCTACAGCCTTCCATATGACAAAGTGCAGACCCCTTGCTCTCCTGGACACTGTCTTCAGGTCACGTCACGGTTTCTCAGTGTTCTCAGAACATGCTACTTGGGATTGAACCCAGGGGTCTGGGCTGGACCGAGTATGATTGGACTATTTAATTATTCATCTGGACAGTAGATTTTTAATGATGTGTTACACTCTGGGCCATTAGGGAGTTCAATAGCTATGACAAAACCCAAGTGTCCCCACTGTGAAGAGGCATCAGGCCAGGCCTCTCTGCTTCTGCAGGGGGGTTTGAAAACCTAAACAAGAGGCTTACATTTCATCTTTTTGACATTCGTCTTGTTTTTGTCCTTCCCCGTTGGCAGTCTCTTCCGTCAGCCACAGTTCTTTCTGGCGTGGATTTGTATTCCTCCCCTCTGGTCATCTCTTCCAACTTTTTTTTTTTTTCCACAAGCAAACTTAATGCCTTTTTGGGTCTTTATTCCATAATAAATAGAACATGCGCTTTGGAGTCAGGCAGAGCTGGGTTTGAATCCTGACTCTTCCCTTCTCCTGCTGTGCAATCTTAAGCAAATTGGTCGTCTTGGAACACAGTTTCTTACCTAAAGCCTCCCTCCAGGCTGTCATTAGTCTATGAATCAACCTACTTTGAGTATTGACTCCAAACACACCAGATTAAGTAGCTATCATTCAGCCTTTCTTCCTGCATTTTGTTCTCTAGGATATCAGGACGAATGTAACCAGATGCCTCGCTACACTCACTGTGTATGCAGGTGGCCCTTTCCTTATCTGCCAGGCTAATAACCCTCTGGAAGAAAATGCACCAGAACTGGGGCAGCTCTTCCTTCAGGGCCATACTGGGGAAAATGCAAGGTGAAAAGCATTTATCTTCTCACTCACTTTCCCCCTTTTGTGCTTTCTGTTCCCCACTTCTCATCCTCCTTTCCAGGCTACTGAGTTTCCTTTTGATGACTTTTAAATATAGTCTGTTGTCACCTTACCTACTGCACTGCATTCCCATCCTGTTCCTCCTGTTGATGGATCCAAGATCGCTGTGTGTTGAAGCTTTCTGTCATACATGTCCTTGGGGTCACCTTCCCATTTGATCCACCACCTCCCAGATCCACTCGGGACTCTCCCGTTGTCATGTCAGGCCTTCAGCAATCTATCCCATTGTGTCTCTCTAAACTGACTTCAGAAAACCACGTACTACATGCAATGTGCTTTAGTAAATGGTTCCTAATTATTCTCTAAGTGCCCCATCTGCATCATTGCCTCTGAGCTGGTTTTTCTTCCGCCAACTAATGCAGGCCACTATGTACAGTTGTGCAGGTTGTTCACCATGCGAGGGCCCCTGGCTGAGACTGCGGTGGGGTTGAAGTCCATCTGCTGCTTTCTAGTCAAGCTGTGAGTCCTGGTTGGGACTGCATCTGTCTAAGTTAGGGGTGTACTTTTCTAACTGAAATGAAGGCACCTAGTCTAATTTCAAAACTGCTTTAAGGCCTTACTCAGGACCTGCCCATCATACCCTGTGCTCTTGCTCTTTTATTCTTCTACCCTTGGTAGTGCTGGGGCCACATCAGATGAGATGGGTAAGCACATGGGCTTTTGGAGTCATGCTGCCAAAGTTCAAATCTCAGCTCTACCACTACCACTATCTGGGTGACCCTGAGCAAGTTATTTAACACTCTGAGCCTCTGTTTCCTCATCTTTAACACAGGAATAACAATAGTGCTTGCCTCGTAGTGTTCTTGTGAATAACATGTGAAATATCCGTCTAAGCATCTTAGCATGGTGCCTGGCACATAGTGGGCACTCAGCAGGTGTTAACTTGTACTACATCGTGCACCGGTAGCCAGCAATGAGCCCTGGCAGGGCTCTCAGGAAGCATGAGTGCCAAAGGGCCACCTCACTAAGGAGGCCTGCTGGACAGAATTCAGTAGAATTCAAATACACAACAAATAGCTTTCTAGTATATCTGAAATGTTTAACTTTTTAATGGAAATTTCAGTGTTAAGAATTATGGCCAGGCATCGTTTTAATCTTTTCTACATCCCATCTCAATTTCTGCCTGCTGCCCCTTCACCTCACACGATGCCCGTCCCACAAGTTCTCTTCCACGAAATCGGGGAAGTGGGCTAACCTGTGGCATGAGGCCTGAGGTCTGGGAGTGAAGTGTTCAGGTGTTCTTGTGAAGGTTATGGTTTGCATGCAGAAGTATATATTTTCTCATTCATACATCCCATGAGCTTCAAAATGTCCTACTTCCTTTCTCTACCTTTCCTGTTTTATTTGTTACTTTTAATATTGTGTAGGTCAAAAGGTGTCTTCTTACTAGTATGTACTCTGGAATACTGTGTGTTTTGATAAGTGGGTTTTATATATTGAAATTTCTGTTTTTATAAGTGAATTTTCTTGTAATCTAAACTTGTGGTGAAGTAGGAACCCTCTAAGCCCTCATATATTCAGATATTCCTCTTGTGACTACTCTGGCATTTCATGTCGTTATTCTTAAATTCACTATCTGCTTTCTCATATCTATAACTTGTCAAATTTTTCCATGCTTGGCATTTGTACCACAGTAAAAAATTCCTAGGCAGCAGTCCCAGTAAATTATTAGTCTCATCACGTGGTCACAGGTTGACATTTACTTGTATCACCATGTATTTGTCCTGATGACAAATAATCCTCAAATTGGTTGCTGATACCTTGTCCTTTCTGTACATGGTCTGTGTCTTCCTAGAGCCTGTCTCTTCCTGGAACCACGGTGGAGGAAGTTACTAAACCACTAGCAGTACGAAATGTAGTTCCGTTTTTTGCATGATTTTTTCTTTTTTATAGTCTTTCACTTCAAATCCCCCATGACTGACTCCTTGCCCAGATTTTTTCTCTTTCCCAACTCTGTCTCCATGGCCAAGAAGCAGTGATTTCTCTGTGGGCCGGTTGTCTTCAGGTTTTCTGCTGCGTGATTCCACTGGGCTCTCGTGCTCCTTAGCTCTCTCAGGAGTATCTCCTATATACTTTACGCATTTGCTCAACAAACATCTGCTAGGCCCTTCTTTGTGCCAGGCACCGTGCTCAGCAGGGAGATGCAGAGGGAATGAGAGGCCCGTCCTAGGCCTCAGCGGGCTCACAGTGTTGTAGGAAGGACAGACCAGTCAGCTGGAGAAGTGAGATCGGTGTGATGATGGAGCCAGACCTCAAGTGGTTGGGGAGCCTGAGGGAACAGCTCCTCTCCAGCCTGGATGGGCACAGGTGCAGGAGGGGCCAATGAGGTGATGAACTCAGCCTTGCAGACAAGTAGAGGGCATATACATCAAAGACAGGGAGAGTGGCATGTGCCAGGAGTAGTAGGGGAGTCCATTGGGTTCACTGTGGCCATCGCAGACTGGTGGGGGTAGGACTGGTGACCTGGGTGAGGGCAGGTCATGGAGGGACTTGTATAGTGTGCCAAAGACTTTGGACTTTATCCCAAAGGTGATAGGGAATAACTAAAAATAACTAAAATTTTTGATAATGCAAATGTTTAATCTAGTGGCAGTGTGAGGGACTGGAGGGCAGAATGAACTGGAGATTGAGAAACTATTGTAAGTAACCTTGGTTAGAACTGATGGGGGTCTGAAATGTGACCTCCACAGTGGGTCACACTGAGAGATGTGAGAGATCACACTCTTTCTTCTGACACTGTGCCTTTGCACATGCTTTTATCTCCATAGCAAGTGTTTTCCACATAACATCTCATTTTATGCTTGCAAGAATCTAAGGAGTAAGAACTATTTTCATATATACCTGGCAGATGAGATAAATCAAAGCTCAGAGAAGTTAAACACAAGCCAAGGTTCACATGCATCAAAAAATGTGGAGCCAGGATTCAAATTCAGCCTGTGCACCTAACTAATGTTGTCCCTTGTCTTGCTTGAATCAAGAGGATCACTGTGACCTTCTGGCCAATTGGGTGTGGCTGAAAGGCAGATAAGTCTAGTGCAACACTATACAATAGAAATATTATGAAAGCCACATATGTGCTTTTAAACATTCTAGTAGTACATTAAAAAGTAAAAGGGAATTGTTTTTAACAATTTGTTGTATTTGGCCCAATATATTCAAACACTATTTCAACATGAAATCAGTGTAAAATATTATTGCAATAGTTTGTGTTCTTTTTTCTGAACTAATTCTGGTGTGTATTTTACACTTACTGCACATTTCAGCTTG